TTTTGTTACACTCCTGGAGCTGATTGATGAACTATTACTAGGCTGCAATATTTTTTTTGGTTTTTGGTTATTAATTAATGCAATTTTTTGTCATTGAACATATTTGCTTTTTCCCCATTTTGTGAAAGCAGTAAGACTTTCTATAGTGAATTTACCACTGTGTTGGTAGGCCTCTCTCTTTAGATTATTCTGGAATTAACTACTTGTTAAACCTATTTAATGATTTTTAAAGACTTTTTAAAGATTTTTAAAGACTTTTAGTTGAATACACCAAAGATTTCTGTCAGTAAAGCACATCTGGTGTCATTATTCACACATAGATGTTCTCTGAGCAGTCGGATGTGCTTTATCTTTGTTGTACATCTCAATCCGGCATCCATTTTGGTGGGACTAATGGTGTGTGACATTTAAAAACATGTTTGTGGGTTAATGGAGGTCTCCTGACTGCACAAGGCCCTAAAATAGATATATTATAGTCTATTCTCTGGGATGAGAGGGCTCATATTTAAGAGAGAGAAAGAGCAAGAGCGACTTCTCACACCCACCTGCTCGTAATGACAATAGTTGAAACTATTCCGACATGAAGAGCATCGCTCCTGCTTTTTAAAAGATGACACATGCCTTTCCCCACATCTTTGTGCTTTTTGAAACCAGTATGATTGCATCCGGTCAGAGTTCAGGGAGAAAGAGAAAAGGAGGGAGGACAACATAAAGGCGACTGAACAAATGAGCAAGACTGATTTTTTGAAAGTTTGATACTTTTATGTTTTTTTCCCCCCTCTGAAACTTCAAACAGGTTATTTAATCTATTCTCTCTCGCTCTTTTTCTCCTGCAGCCTCTCTTTGCACCTTCTCTCTCTTCGAGCAGAGCGCAAAAATGAAAAAGGGAAAAAGCTGAAGTATTGTCATGTGAGCTGAGATTAATTTTAGATTGCTCTGCTGTTCTGCTTTACCTTCAAAGGACCTCCATTATGTGGCAGCAGATAAGGGTGAGGTGGTGTTAGCTGCTGTAGCCAAGAAGAAGGCTAATGAAATAGACGCAGAGGCACAAACATTGGCACCAGGTGAGAGAATCATTCACAAAATGTTAGTTACAATAAAATGCTCCAAAATCTCCTATTGGAGTGTGATTAATGTTTATAAGTGCAAAATGATCACTCATAAACTCTCATCTGCATGTTTTCATTTACTCTTCTAGAAAAATTCAAATAAATGTTGCAAGGTAAAATTACCTTGGTCACCAAATGGAATTTAAAAAATATTGATTTCAAACAGGTTTTCCCAACCACATTCCCTTCGTCTTCCATTTTGTGAACAAACATAATAAGCTGTGATGGGTTCAATTATTTTGACAGAGAAAAATGATTCCTTTCAACTTTGAAATTGTCCGGTTTTTCCATCTACAGTCATTGCATGTGGCATGTCACAGAAGAATTTACTCTTGCTCCAAGTTCAAAAAACGTGTGCACTTAATTTCATTCAGTCTTTCATGATATGACGTAAGGCGCATGTGACCCTGGCGGTGGCACCACTGGGAAATTAAAAAAAGTCATTAGGTTTCGTAATTTTTAATCCCTTATGTAATTATATTTGACTATTTTAAGGTTGTTGTTTTTTAGCTCTGTGTGCAGATATAGAGAGAGTTTGATTCATTCACGTTGTTAATTGGCTGAATAGGACTGGTTTAAAGTGCATTGACCTCAGCTCTGATATTCTGTTTCCTGCTGACCTGAAGAGGATGTCCTACGTGCTGTTCATCAGTGATGTTCAACATACATTTCCTCTGCCAGCAGAATGGGCATACATTCAAATGAAAGAAGTGCCGTAGAAAGAAAAAAGCGAGAGGGGGATAAGGGACGGACAGAAGTAGTTCGGCTAACAGGTGTACAGATGAGACAAGGGGAGGTATTTAGCTTGTAATAAGGGGGTGAAAACTTGAGGGTGTGTGTGTTTCCCACCCTGTCTGCCCATAAGCCTCTTAATTATGTCCTTGATGATTTCCCTGCTCTCTCACCCCGAGCAGACCTTAGCCTTGGAAGGAAGTGCTTAAGAGTGCGAATGTGAAAGGAACAGATGGGCAAAATGGTGTGTTTGGGGGCATTTTACCGCTGTTAATAATTTAAAATGTTACAATTATAAGTCATTGCCTGAGATTTTTTTTTTAAGTGCAAGATACCCCTTTTCTCTCTTTTTCTTTTCTGTCAACTCTACGTTTTCAGGTCAATAGCTTCTTTCAGGTGCCGATATCTTTGTGTGCAGGGATTATTCTGGAATAGAGGAATATTTAGAGGAAATTCTGTAGGGCAGTGTGCGGGATCATAAATAGGGAATGAGCGCGGTAGGATTCAGCATTGTGCTGTGCATTAAAAAGACAAGGTGTCTTGTTTACATTTGGCCAGCCTG